TTGGTTAGATGGTTCACAGGTGGTGAACTGTGATTGGTTGTAAGCATGTCACAGGATGTTACATTATCGGCTGCTCTGCGCTGACGAGCCAGCCACAACTTGACAGATTTCTCTGACTGACTTCTGCTCTGTTGTTGCTCAGATTAAATCATTTGACGACCATACACGCTGACTTTCTGTGCATTTATTCCAACGTGTTTCTGCATTCTTGGTAAATCGTGCTACCACAATTTTTGGCGTTGTCATTATCGGAGCTCCAAGGACCGGAGTTTGCCCGCAGCGACCGATGTTTTTGGACTATCATTGGACAATGGGAGAAGAAGGCTTTTGTTTTTTCAGCTTCTGAGAAAGTCTGACCTGTCTTCCTCTGCTGATCGTGTCCGGGTTGGGATCTGTCCTTACTTCGGGTGCTGTGGGTGACCTTTGGGACTGGAACTGAAAAGAACCTGTCTGTGACAGAAACACGGTGAGCTAATATTTTCATTAGCACCTTATGCAAAAAGCTACRGCTAATTTCGGTCCACCACACACTGAAATTCTAATAGTTAGACGCTCGTCTGGTCACTTGTGCAGTTGTTGATTTTAGCCAAGGTAGTTTTCGGGAGCGTTTTATTCCAAATCGAGTCAAAACGGAGTTTAGCTTTCTGTTTTGAAGTAGCCAAGAGGACATTGTTTGTCTTGGTGAGTGTAGGCAGTTTAGATATGATTAAACTGCTGAAGGAAAATGTAATTTTCCGTTTTTGTTTCTGTTGAGGAGACACAGTATGCTAAAAGTCGTTTTTTAAAAGGCGGCCGCCCAATTTTTATCATAAGAAAGTTGCATACAGTAGTGCACTGGGCAAGAGTTATACAATGGGTCTAGGTTGATTCTGTTTTTCAGCCAATGAGTGCGACCAGCGGGCCTTTGAGCACAGGCGATGGTAAATAAATATGGCGCTGGAAGCCGTGAAAGTGTCTGCGGGTATGGAGTTGATAAATTAGCTTTCCTGGATAAAACTAGCAGTTTTAGTCTTAGACAGCTCAGCYGCCTYCGTGATCGCTTACTGGAACATGAATCAAAGCTTTAAAGCAAGAAGAATGATAAAAGGTTGTGTTGAAACATTTTTAAATAACATGTTTTAGTCTCTTAGTTGCTATTAAATGGAGCGGATTGGGGGTTTCCTGTTTTGGCCTCGCAGTGTCACCTCCTGGTGGGTGCGGCCTGGTTTGGGGAGATGAATGCTTTGGAGAACTCAACATGTGTTAAAATGGGTGAGAAGACTGAGATGAGAGATCCGTTGGACAAGGAGATGGAAGCTGCTTCTGAGTGTAAAACTGTATGGAACTCTGTTTGTGCCAGACCAAAAAATCTCTCAGGAAGGATTCAGCACTTAGATGACATCGAATGGCCAGAATTACAGAGAAATGCTTTTTCTCCACCTGCAAGGAGAAGAAAACAACGACAGGCTGTAATCAAAATAAGTGATAACAGCCAGAGAAATAAAGCAGTGTTTCTTCAAAACAGATTCACACCACTGGAAAAAACTGAGTCTGAACAAAGTTCATCTGCTGATCTCAGAGAGGGACCTGAGACCAGATCCAGATCCAGCTCAAAGCCAAAGCAAGTCCAAAAAGAGACTTTCAAGAAACAAGAAGTGCTGATCATCACAGATAAAATAGTGAATGAGATCAGAGGCTTCTGGAACAAGAAAAAAGTCAAAGTTCTGAGTTTTGCTGATAAAGTACCTGACCTCACAGAGAAGATTCTGGAAATCTCAGCTGAGTATCCAACTTTGAAGAAGCTCATCATTCACACAGGAAGTGATGTAGTTATGAACCGACAGTCAGAAGTCCTGAAGAAGGATTTTATTC